CAGTGCCTCCGCGCCAAACGATTCGTCCGCTTTCAGAAAAACAACCCCTTTTAGCGTGCACAAGCGTTGTACATAATAGAACCTAACCTACATGATTATACGCCTTTATAAAGAGATACGCGTACCTATCCGCTTCATATGTACTCGTATGTCTACGTGTGGTGTTCACACCGAGTTGTTACCAATCGACGATTACTACTAATACTGCTACTGCTGCTACTGCTGTTACGGTTTTGACAACATCGTGTTGCAACTTTTATCTGCAAGTCGATTTATTAGCTTTTCGGACGATTTTATTTATAGACACGAAGTTTTTTTTTTCATACGCGAATGTAATAATTTATGATCGATTGGCTATAGATCGCCTTCCCCCTTTTTTGATCGGTTGAACCCTATTCCCTTCTTACCTTATCCCGCGCATGGTGAATAACAAATGAAATATCATATGACCACTAAGACCTGTTGAACCATACAACAATGGAAATCATTTCAATAATCATGCTCATTATGCTAATACAATAGATGTAAACATTAATTTGTATCTGATGTGCTTGTAATTATATCTAAACAAGTTTAATATATTAATACGACGCGATGTTTATTATTAACAAACAGAAATTTGCCGTTTATTAATCAACATAATATGTTTGTTATAATATTTGATTATTCGAATTATTGAAGTTACATCATCAGTTTAAATAGATACATAATTATAATTTCTGTGTACCTATTATTATAATATAACTTTTCATACAGTATTACTATATTATATAAAACCGTATGAACGTTTTTTTTCAGTTCAACTACCATATTGTATATTGATTTAACAATTATATTGTGTATTTTTTTTAGTGTTCCAATGGTATTTTAAATCTTTTAAATTTATTCAAAAAATAATAATTTTATAAGTTAATTAAATTTTAAATTAAGTTTACTTAAAAAAAAAAAAAAAGTAGTTTGAATATTATTATTTGTTCTTAAAATATAGTAGGTTTTCTTGAAATACTTTTTTTAAAAGTTTTTTTCACACTTTGTTTTTATTCAATTACAAGTATCAAGTATAATAGTATTTAAATACTTTTTAATTGTTTTTTTTCAAACTTATGATGTTTAGTATAATAAACTTCTTAGGTCAGAATAACTAACAGATACTTATGATAATTATTTATGCAATAGAATTGTTCTACGAAATTGTGAAAAACATTCATAAACCGTTATATTACGAGTATATGATAAAAAGTTTAATAAATTTAAACGTTATTCTTTTTAATTACAATTAGTTTTTAATGATGGTTGAGTGGTGTAATTAAAACCAAACATCATTTACATAAATTTCAACAGTGATTATTAAGTTATTAAGTTCAATTTAATTAAGTTAACTTGCCTACAATATTATCATATTTTATTAATCCATTATAAAATTAATCAGATTGTTTTTGTCATTTAAAATTCGTGTTCCGGTTTCTTCCATGAAAACAAAATTAGTTGGTTGCTCAATATTTGTCTCCTCATATTTAACGGGACTAGTTTGACATGATTTAAATACATTTTTTATCGATTAATATTCTATACAACATGGTTTTTCAAAGCAATTTCAAGATATGTTTTTTAAAATTCATAAATCATTAGTAATTAATTGAGTATACTTTAAGGAATGTAGTTGATGTAGCAATAGTTCAAAATATTAAGTAGTTATAGATATGCACATTATGCTTTGAATTATTATTATTTAGTAATTAAAAAACTTGGACAGGATAGTGTAATTTTACTGTATTCGAGATTTGAATGCAATGATTGCATTCGATAAAAAACGATTTTGAGCGGACGAGGGAATCTTTTTTATTTAATTTTATTTGTTTCTATGGTGATACACACAAAGCGTTTTAAGAACAGCTTAAGAAAGATTTATATAAATAGGTAATTTATATAATTATAATTATAATTTTTAATTAGGAAATATCATAAAAATGAAAAAATATATATAAAATAAAAGAAAAAGCTCAAAAATCGCTCAAATCTTTAGAACATTTTACCATGTCTAGGTAAGGATAATATAAGTAAACAACCCAAATTTCAAGTTTTTATAAATGTTTTTAACCGAATTACAACAAAAAACTCCCAAAATTAAAATGTCTATAAATAGCTCAAAAATGGCTAAAATTTTCCAAGCTTTAAACCATAAGAAACAAAATTCAAAATACAACAAAAATGATCTCTTGTCATTTTTAATTTGAAGCAATATTTCTGATAGAAAACGTCGTCCATAATTATTTAATATTATAAAATTGTGAAATCGTTTTTTCTCCTTTAACCGCTTTTATTTCGAGTACCGTTTCGAAAATTGAAAAATTACCTCTCTAAAATACCAGCTCAATAACATTACTTTTTAGAAAAGATGCTACATTTGATACTTTTGAGCAAATTTAGAGGGAGAAAAAGTGTTTTAAAACCAATACATTCTTCGTTCCGCTCAGAATCTAAAAATTTGATTATAACATTATAATTGTTTTATGTTCGTGTGGAATAATATAATACCTATAAAAATTATTTCGTACTTTAAATATATGATCTAAATATTTAGATATAACATGCATATTATACGGTGAACGTAAATAGAAGATACTTGGAATAATATTTGTGGATGCATTTAAATGATAAATGTAGTCACATCCATTATATAATTTAACTAAAGGCTCTTGAGGATGTATCGTGAGCTTACACACACATTCGCTCGCACCACACACACACACACACACACACACACACACACACACACACACACAC